CTCCAGCTCATCTACACAGCTGGTAGGTTTTGCTTTCTCATGTGAAAATCTAATACCCTCATCTCTAGAAGAGGGTTCAAGTTTTTACTACTGACAGGACTCTTGGCTTAGCAGAAAAACACTGTCCTGCACCTCTGATATACTCTTTCTCTATGGGCAGACTGCTTAGATGAACAGCTCCATATGTGTAGTAATAATGGAACAAAGTTGAGATCCTCTATTTAGAAGTGCATCCGCTATTTAGAAAGCATTTACTTCTTAGCAAGCAATTTAAACAAGAAAACAGATAGTACTTGTGGAACTTCAAGTTTCAGTATTTCAGTGAAACCTAACAATATTTAACATTGTCATTTAGTTGATCAGAGTCCACTTCGGGAACTGGGGTCAGAATTATGATGGACGATAATAAATGCTAATTCTACATAACTCACATATGCGTTTTATAACTGAGATGAGATACTTTTTTTTTCTTGCATTGTGGACTATACTTGTATTATGTCTAGTACACCTTGTATTATATCCATTTAAAAAGAAAAACGATTTTCTATACTGGGGTTTATAGAGAATTGTTCTTAAAGATTAATAAGTTAGATAAATTGACAAGCAATCATATGTGCCTTGATTTGGAAGATGAGAGCTTAATGCTATTGCAGGACAGGCAATACTCAAAAACGCTGCAGTTTTGTAGGCATAGGCCTAGAATAGCTAGGACTAAAAACTAGGGAGTCAAACTTTTGGAAGTGAATAAGTATGGGAAGTAAACGTTTGAACAATAAGGCAAATATCCCACAGAAAACATTCTCACTGACATACATTTTGGTAAATTCCCTCCATCTCTCACAAGGGGAGAGGTGGAGGGCATCTCTCCTTGAGAGGAACTGACTACAAAGTTATAATGCTAATATAGATAGGATGATGGGATTTCCACTCTAGATTTACGCATTCCCACAACTACTACAGTTGATCCCGAACTTCCTGTTCAATCTTAAGGAAAGCTACACGTCCCTGCAAGTCGATATTGGCGACCAGGGTGGACGGCTGGAGACCCTCTGGGTTAAAAT